AATTTTAGAACTCACCAGAAGTTTAGATCTAGTCAAGGATTGACCCAAACGACTTGTTCTTTTTCTCAGGCTTTCCCAATACCAGCATTATACCAATAGAAGGCAACTTACGCCATTCAGTACATGACATTCTGTTTTAGTAAAAGGATATAAGTGTATACAAAATCAATCTAAAAAGATAGAGGCTTTCCCTTTTGAGGGATGGACAAATGTGGGTAGAGGTGATATCATTCACTCCCGTCGTTTTAAATTCCCTGTATTTATATCTCCAGCCTAGACTTTTTTACTTTAGTTCTTGCTTCTATATTCAAATGCCTACATGAACAATTCTCCCAGTATTTCAAATTTAACTTCTCTGAAATTATTTCTTCCTGCCTTTCCACCCAACCTGCTTCTGCTCCTACCTCAGCCTCCAACTCCCAATCTGTTTCTTCTTCAAACTCCCCTCTCCAAGTCAGCGGCCTTACTAGCCACACTACCAAAGTGTTGAGACATATGGTCACCCTTGACCCAGTCTTTCCCCCCACCTGCCATATACAATCAATGGCAAGCCTTTCTCTGTATTCAAAACATATCTTTAATCCTTCACTTCTCTCCATTTACTTCAACCATTACCTTTCTAATTGATCACCACAATACCTCACCCAAGTTACTACAACTACTATAAGCTTCCTAACTGGTCTTTTTGCTTCTATGCTTGTCCTCTTACAATCCTTCACCTCACAAATGGCCAGTGAAACTTATAAAAATGCACCTCATATCATGTAATTCTCCTGCTTTAAATCCTTCATTGATTTTCCACTGGAGCAATAATAAAATGCAAAGTTCTTATCATGGAGAACACACTGCCACACAAAATCCAGCTATGAAAGACTAATCATGTCTCATACTCTGCTTGTCTCTTCCAAGCTCCATAAGGTCCATTTGCACCTGGCCTTCCTTTTATTCCTCAAACATTCCAAGAACTCTTGCCTTAGGATTTCTATGCTGTGACTATAGTTCCTGTCCTGGATTTTCATAGGATTGATTCCTTTGTCATCCTTTAGGTCCCAAGGTAAGTGTTACCTATCCAGAGAAAATAGCACTTATCTCAAGTGCCAATTATTTCCTTGTTTATTATGTTTTCCTTAGAGGAATTTAAGTTCCATTAGATGAGGAATATATATATATATATATATATATATATATATATATATATATATAAATACATCTCGTTTATTGACTACTTTAATTCTAGAGCCTATCAGAGTAATTGGTGCTCGGTAAATATTTGTTGAATGAAAGCATAATTAAATGAGTGGATGAAGGCTTGTTTATTCCTTGAACACTTATTTTTTTATAATTACAAATTATATGTTGTCTTTACTGTAACATTTTGCTGATGAATATGTAGTGTCGCATGAATATTTGTGACTGATACTAAAATGCAAGATTTTCAGATTTCTTAAAGATCATAAACAAACTGGCCGTGAAGTTGAGAGAAATTTTACTTTCATAAGAAGATCATGTTGATTATACCTCAACATTTGAATTATTTTTAATGAAAATACAATTTTCTGATATAACAATTTCTGATTTCCTCTCCCTATAAATAGCTGTCAGGACCCTAGGCTGTGTTTAGGGATTTGTATTCAAATATGAGGGTGAGGACTCACTTTTTAGAGAGAGATGCTCTGTAGAGAAGCAATTCTGAAGTAAGCATTTTGGGAAATGTCTAATTAAATTCTCAGTAGCCTGTTTCAATAAATCATATAGCTAGCTGAGAGTCAGTATGACTCTCTAGGTGGAGCTGGGAAGACCTGACTCTAGAGAAGTTAAAAGTGAAGGAGGGAAATAAATCCAAAGTAAGTTGGTGAAACAGATTTTAGATTTTGTCAAGTGCTTATGCTCTTATTGGGGTAATACATGATAAAAGATCTTGACTCAGCCTGCACAATCAATAATGAGCACAAGTATATAACTGAGTACTCTTTGGGTTCCACAGGCATCTGAGATCTGGGCCCTTACAATCCTAGGACTTTCTATTTCTTTAGTCCAATGTGAATATTATTTTAATAATTAATCATTTACCTGTTCCTTCTAAAAACAATGCATCCTGTATGACTTTTAATTTTTGGGGCGGGGGGTTGTTTGTATATAAAATTTTGTTAATATAGCTGAGAGTTAATTACGTATTTGCTTATGTTCTATGAGTTTTCTATGTCTAAAGTGTCTGTGCATTAGAGTATCAGGTATAGTCATAAATATAATGAACACAAGTATGTGGTAAGGCTGTGCATTTCCTTTTAAGACCAACCTCATCCAAACACTACTCATCCAAAGTCAGAAGGGATGGCCAAGGATTGTGCTTGCCTCCTTCTTTCTCCTTTGTTTCCTCTCTTTCTCCTTCCTTTCTTGACTAACTCAACATACATTTACTAAGTACTTACTATAAGTATTTTTCACTGTGCTACAGTTACTTGGAAAATGATACAAGCTCTCCGGGTCTTCCATTGAAGGTTGTATTTGAATAATGAAACATACTAATATGAAGATATAAATATAGTACAAGGAAGGAGGTAGTTCTGTAGTTCTTTCTTATAATTTAAAACAATGTTTTCCAAACTACAGGTTGCTGGTCATCCTTTGTTGGATCATCAAATAAGTGTATTGAGTTAGGACCACACTTTACATAATAGTAATAATAATAAATAGGAGAAAATGACAAATATCAGTATGTATTGCACATGATATTTTTCTCAAAATTTTTGGAGGACGTATGTATTCATTGTAAAATATATATCTTACTGTGAGACAAGGTTAAAACATGTTTAAAAGACACTATCCAGAGGAGTCTAATGAGATATTATTTTAACTGTAGTCAAGGAAGGAAAGCTTTGTGGGTCTGAAAGTACTTGGATAAGACCTATTGGAGATAAGATGACTTTTCAGTAAGAGCTACCAGGAAGAATTCTGAAACTGAATTAAGTTATAACCATAGGAGAAAGTAAACTTTGTGGAATCAGTTTACTCTTGAATGAATGACTACCCTAGGACCAACACTACTTCCAGAATCTTACAGGAAACATATGACCACTATCAAATAAAATCTAGGTCTCTCTGCTTGTAATCATTCTCCATCTCTGATGCCCCAAGGGAAACTTTAAAAGTAGTTCCTGTGAGGTATACATACCACACTTAGGTGATTCAAAGGTTCTTATATTCAACTGCTTGTTCCAAATATTTATGTATTTAAGATACTGCATTTTTTAAAATATGAAAGGTGTAAAGGTAAATACTCAATTCAATAAATTGAAAGTGACTTCCCCCAACACTTAGATAAGATACCCTTGTGTCCTATTGGACGCTGGACTTTCTGAGTTCCGTTTGTCTAATATTTATTGCGCAAAAATTCAAGGACTCAGGACAACTGACTTAACATCTTTTGTTATACAAAAGAAGTAAATAAAAAAGAATAAAAGCAGTCAGGGTGGCCTCTAGAGAAGGGGAGCTGTTGTTGCAGGAATCTTGCAAGTTAATGAGAATTCACCCGGGACTCAAGAGAGGGGAGAAAGGAGGAGAAGGGGGGTGTGTTGGGGGGGGGGGGTGGATAAAAACTCTTCCTTTGCAGCTGGCCCTCTCCTTCATTTGTTGCTCCAATAAGCAGTAATTAGGTCCTGAGCTAATGGTGTCAGCTGATCTGCTGTTTTTAGGCTAGACCCAGAGGAATCTCCATGGAAACCCTGCTGGAGTCGTCCCCCCACCTGGATGCTGAGTGCTCCTTTCCGCCACCTGGCTGCCGCCCGGCCCGCTGCTACCTCCTCCGGCCTCTAACCTGCAGCCTGCAGCATGCGCACTACCCCCGGGATCCCTAAATGGGACAATTCTGCCCGTGACGTCAGCGCCCAGCCGTCTCCACAGAAACTTTTGTCCCACTGACCAATCAGAGAGCTTGGAAGGGGCCGGGGAGGTGGGGTGGGAGGAGAGGGGAGTGGGAGGGGTGGGGGTGAGGGGAGAGGCGAGAGGTTTAGTGTGTGGAGCTGCTCGCGCTCTGCCCGGGCTGTCAGTCCCGGCTCTAGCCGCCGCGAGACCTTCCGGGAGACGCGCGCACACACAGCGCACCCCCCGCGCACCGCACACCCTCGCTCCCTTGCTCACACACACGCACACACTCAGCCTGGCCGAGCAGGAGCCACTGACCATTTTGCAAGTGCCGGACCGGCTGCGGCGCAGTGGGTACAAACACTCAACGTTCCCATTCGGGGCTTTCCTCTTGGAGACGACGACAAGGGGCGAAGGTGGGCTAGGACGCGGACCAGGAGCCGGGCACTGGTCGGGCCGCCTTCCTGGCAGAGCCATCTCCCGGGACGGGCGCGGGCCTCCGCAGAGAGTAGAATAAAGAGGAGCGACCGCAATCGCAACGCGCGGAGGATGGGAACTCCCCTGTTTAAAGGTCTTTAACAGACGGATGGAAATCCTGAATGGAAGAACCGCTGATTTCATTCGCTTGAGAAAATCGTCCAGAGGAACTCATATTTGGCTACTCTGAGCAGTGGAGGGGGTGTCCATGACGTGGCAGGGGGAAAATAGACACCCGAAACCTCCTGTGTGAACTGCAAACTGTAACCAAGCAAGGGGGAAATGATCTCTCTCTCTATTTTAATTTCATGCAAAGGGCTTTAAGCATCTGTATCATAAACTTACTTCTTTCTCCGTACCCAGTTCAGCAGAAACCAGAGGAGTCCTGTCTGAGGACCCCATCATTATCCGGGAGACCTGCCTCCAGCGGCCTGCTTTCGTTTACCCACATCTCCCTGGAACGGAGATCTGTTTGGGGTACCACTGTCTATCCTATGGAACTATGGCCAAATCTCCATGAATGCTTTTTCTAATTCTGGGACTTAACTCCTGGAACCTACCTGCGGGGCTGGGATTTAGCCTAAATGCCTCTGAAGAAATGACATTTTAAGCCGTTTTAAAAATACATTTAAAAATATTTCCTGTGTAGCAGGATTTGATAGGCTTAACAACATGACAGGTAAGAACTTTCTCTCTCTCTAGTCCCTTAACGCCCCCACGCAGGGAAGGCCGAAGCGGAACAGGACCCTAGAGGAAGGAGAGCCCGGGGACCCGGGGCTCCGGGGCTCCAAGGCGCTGGGCCGGCGGCTGTTTTAGACAGAGGCGCAGCCCTCGCTCTTGGACCGCGGGGCCAGCGGCTGGGGAGATTTAGAGGCGCGCGCGGGGAGGCGGCGCTGCGCTCCACCTGCCCTGCCCAGGACACAACCCAGGGGCAAGGCGTCAAGGGACCACCCGAAGTCAATATTGGAATTTTTAATAAACCAAGGAATGAGATTTTAATTATTCAAAACCCAGCTCCTGTGGGCTAGATGCTGTTGGGATGGTCCTAGTCACAATTTTAGAGACCCATCTCTAAGAGGACGAGAAAAGGGTCTAAGACATCCGTCGCAATTACGAATGAACCAGAGACTTGCTAGCATAGGGCATTGATTGCGGGTGCCCAACCGGACCCTCCTCCCCTCTCCATTCCTTCTCCCACCCGAGACAGGCTCCGGCGGCGGCCGGGACCTCGCGTCCCTGCATCGTGGCGGGGGCTGCATTTTTCATGAGCCCGGGGTGAACAGGTGCGAAGTGCGCTGGGAGCATCCGGCCGACCGCCGGGCGCAGGGAACATGGAGAGCGAGCGCGACATGTACCGCCAGTTCCAGGACTGGTGCCTCAGGACTTACGGGGACTCAGGCAAGACCAAGACGGTGACCCGTAAAAAATACGAGCGGATCGTCCAGCTCCTCAACGGCTCCGAGTCAAGCTCCACGGACAACGCCAAATTTAAATTCTGGGTTAAATCGAAGGGCTTCCAGCTGGGCCAGCCGGACGAGATCCGCGGAGGCGGTGGCGGCGCCAAGCAAGTGCTCTACGTGCCGGTCAAGACCACGGTGAGTGACTCGCCTTCCTCCGTTATTTGTCTGCGGGAGCAGCCCAGCGGGGAGGGGAGAGAGAGGGGGAGAAAGCGGGAGCCGTGAGCCATCGTTGGCTCGTGTGCCCCCACCCTCCTCAACCCCCTCCCCAAGTCGTCCCCACTCTCATTAGCCAGGCGCGTTTCCCCCACCGTGGAGTCTTTGTGGTCCTTTATTTTAAAGCGGCAGCGCACCTCCAGAGACCGCCGCGCTCCTCGCCTCCTGGCTCCTGGACTAGCTGCCTGAGCTTCCAACCCCGGGTCGGGCGGCGTCTCTCGTCCTCGTGCTGGGCCATTGTCCCATGTCCTTCGCTGGGCGCCCGGCGCGTGTCCCGCCTTCGCCACCGCGCAGAAAGGCCACGCTGGAACCCCCAGCCGCACGCTCTCATAATAGACGATTCTGATCGATAGTCTACAGTGTCTCCTTATTGGTACAAAGACCGAATGTGGCGCTAGTCATGAATGTGGGGATTCCCCCCCCCACCCCCCACCCATACACACACACTATCAGGTTTTATTGTTAGACAGCCGCCCGGGAGACACCGGCTGGCCGATCGCCTTGATCACTGCCAGAGATCTTGCCCTGACTATTAAGATTGTAAGATAAGATCCCGGAGATTACTCCTCCCTTCCCCCATTCCAGTCCTCACTTCTCCTTTCACAAATAAAGCCATCGCTGTATGATAAACAACAAAGAGAGATGGGTTTGGGCGCAATCAAATGGTGCATCTATTTGTTTCTCGTTCTGGCATGGCACTAGTCTCATAGCCACAAAGCTCTAAGCCCAGGCGCTGCAAGGTACAGACATTAAGAGCCCAGCATATCTCAGCCTCACAAAGCAGAGGGGAGCGGTGGCAGCGTCAATTTCCTTTTTAAGAAGATGGGAACTGTGGGCTACAAGTAGGATTTCAGATCAGATCCGTGAGACTTCTTTCTTCATCATGCTACGGTGGGTACTCGCCTGGAGTAGCGGTGGGGGAGGGCATTTGGCATCCTTTGCATTTTTGCCTGGCTTTGGGGTTTCTAGAACATTTGCTCCTTTTCCTCCCTCCCTACTGGCAACTGTTTCCCTTGCAGTATTTAGTCCTGGAGGATGCTAGAAAAGAGGTGTCTTGAAAGCTATTCTATCTCAAACGGAGGTATATTAAATTGGACATATCTGCATGAAAGTTTTCTCAAAGGATTAATGGGAGGATTCTTTTAGGTTTGGAAAATGATATATGGTTTCAAGAGATTAATTAGATGTCGTTGTTTGACGGAAGTATATTTGTTTTGGAATGTATATGGGACATGGAAATAAAGGTGAAATGAAACATAAAAGTTGTCTTGTTTTTTAAAAATGAACTCTTGTTGTAAGGTTTCTAGGAGGTAAATTTACAAATGCAGCCTTCTCCTTTAACATGTGGCATGGCTAAAGACAATGGTGAGATTACTGTCTTGCTTTACTAAGTGATGAGGACTAGATGGGCATAGATTAGAACTGAGATTTATTTACATTTGGATGAGCCAGAGAAGTCTGTTGTAGCCAACGAACTGCTTTGATTCATTTGTATCGAGAGTCACATTAAGAACCTGATTTTTAAAAAATAACTTATTGTTAGACAAAATTAGAATTCAGAACATAAGGATGCATTTTTTCTTTGGGCAATTTTGGGCTAATTAAATGAACAAAATAATTTTAAGGTGTATTTACCTAAATAGTAATATTGTATGTTTTAAGAATATTGCTAGCCTGGGAAGTTTGTTTTTCATTTCTTTCATGTTAAACTTAAGTCCCTCTGTTTATATGTCCAATAGCTTCACCTGTGTATTGGGCTAATAAATTTATAGTTGCATGGATTTGGTTACATCCACTATGTATAAATAGATGTGCCCTTTTAAAACATAAATTTAAAAATTCTAAATAATATAAATCCTGTAATGGTTATAGAGGTACTAAGATAAACATGGATGTCAGTAATTCAAAAAAGCATTCTATACTCAGATACCCATATTTTCATTCAAAAAAGTAATGCAGAGTTGTTGAAGAATTATTGCTAATACATCTAATATAGAGTAACAACTCCAGGTCTAGTAATAAAGGAACACATTTTTTTTTCTTTTCAGTAAAGCTTCCACATATTTATGGGAGAAAATGTAATCCATCAAGTGATATTCTTAGATAATGGTTTCTATGTAGTATTTAAGAGCTCTGCTCTTCATTCAAGCCTGTTTTGAAATGGTGAAGAGGTTTTTAATTCATGAACTCTTCTATTGCTCTTTATGAAATTTTTATGCTGCTCCTGACATAGAATTATAGGCTCCTCCTCTCTCGGAGACAGCCAATCATCATTTCAACAAGTTAAAAAATAAATAAAAGATCCCTTTTTATCCTGTTTCCCCACATCTCAAATTATTCTTTCCTTAAAAAGATGTTGACTCTTCTTTATAATATCAGGAGCACAATCACCAGAGAATCAGAAAATGTATTTTCTTTTTCCTTTAAAGGCAAATGTGTTTGCCTTTATTGGTTGAATAAAATGTGGTATTTGAATAGTATTTTCAAGTAGAGTAAGAATCAGTCTAGCTATTTGAAGCTAGGTTTGCTGTCAGTGAGAGAGATTTGCACCTGATGTTGCAGTAACCCACTCCTGTTGATAATTAGACATCATTACTACTGAGAAAAGGGAAAGAGGGAAGGGAAGAGGACAGGCTGCAGCTAATTAACTACTTGGGTTTAATGAAAGAAAGGGAGACTGATAGCAACTGGGAGGTCATACTAGAAGAGAGTAGACATGCCACACACACTTAATTGAAACAGTATCTTTTAGTCTGAAAAAAGCTAGGTTCTATCTCTTATTTCCCAAAAGAATCGATGTAACTTTGCAAATACACCTCCCCTAAAACCTAAATTTAACTGATGATAAAATCAAGCAAGGAGCAGCTGGCTCTTAATAAAAATGTAGACTACTGAAAAAGATAAAAGAAACACCTTTAATATTTGTCCTGGTCATGCCTAAAGCTGAGGGGGCATAGCTGTCACTGTTTAGATAACTCTGTGGCTGAGGAGATACTGTTTGGTCACCTAGCAACAACATCCTGCAACTCAGCCATTTTAGCTCTAGCATGGGACCTGTTTGCGCGTGCTCTCAGGAGTGCACGTGCATCATGCATACATATGCACATTGAGCGTGGCATCTAAGTTTTTTTCCGTACTACCAACTTTTATTTTTATATGTTCTTTCACTAAAGGGGTCAGAAATTTAGAGGAATGAAACGATGAATAACTTATAACCATTCTCTAAAAGATACAGCAAATGTCTGACATTGTTTATAACAAAGTTTAATCAGTGATCATTTTAAATTAACATTACTCTGGTTACTCTCTTTTATATCTTTGATAGTTCTAGTTTAGTTTGTTTTTAGAAGCTTTTCATCTTGATTGATATTTTTTTTCTGGCAACAATTAGTTGAAACATCACAGAAATTAAACACATTATGTCACTTGATATTATGAAAGGTAAACTTAGAAAATAACTAGAAAATTAATTAAAGCTTTCCATTAGTCATATGATTAATGCATTATTGTGTATTTTTAGAAGGCCCACTACACTACATAAAACATTAGGGAATTTGGTAAACTCTTCTTATTTGTTTTTCAGTCTTATACAAACAGGATAATGAATAACCAAACTGTAAAATCAAATAATAAGAGACTGATGCTTTTCTTTACCTGTATTTATAGGCACAGACACTTAGATCTCATTTTTGCCTTTCATGAATTATTTTTCTTATATTTATTCCACTGGGGAACATGAAATGAATTTTTCATCCAGAAAGGAAAATGCATTATCTTTCACATGTCACTTAAAAATGATGATTTATTCAGTCCTGCAATATGTAGCCTCAGATTTCATATTGTTCTTGCAGTATATACTACTAATTGATTACAGTGATTAGAATAAATATTCATGAACGGGTTCATAAACAGTTACTGGGGGTTTTGTTTTTTTAGTTCCCTATCGTTTTAGTTATAAATTATTTATGATACATTGGGTTGAGGAAAAATGCCTCATAAGGAGTCCGTATGCATTTATAACTTCATGTCTGACCACACATCACACGTATTAGGCCTCAATCTGGATGCTGCCGAACTTTCAGAAAACAGAGCTGAGGAACAACATCAGCTATATATTAGGATACTTTGTATCTGCAACAGAGACAAACCATAATTGTAGTCACTGAGGCATAAGAAAAATTTTGCTTGTATCCTAATACTTTCTCGCAGTGGGCATTGCTATTAATAGCTTATGCATTTTCTGCTTTATTTAAAGTATTTTGAGACACTGTCTATATAGGCTAGGTCTTTGGAGTCAAAAGATCCCAAGTATGAATCTCAGCAATGTAAAATATTAGCTGACTTTAGTGGCTCCTTATGAGTTGCTCTGCGGAATAGGTCATGTATGATAAGTCCCTAGCACCACGCCTATATAAGGCTCTCAGGCAATAGTGGGCACCTTTAACTAGAGGCCAGTTTGGCGTGGGAATTAAAGGTCAAAAGGCTTATAGATATAATTACCCTGAATATAAGTAGGAAATCAGACCCTGTTAATATACGAAGACTATCCCACACTTATTTCCTATGATACCAATTCTTGACTTTTCCTTTGGTTTCTTGTCTTACTAGCAAACACAGTAGGGAGGAGGGGCAAGATTCAGCACTCCTATGTTCTGCCTATAAACTTCCTGAGCCAGCTAACATTCTACTTCTGAAGGTTTTATACTCTAGACTTTCTGCATAGGAGAGAGGAAAGATGAATACCGGGAAGTGGCAGCAGGATTCTAAGAGTTTCAATCCTGTGTGAAGAGCAGAAAGACCTTTCCCTAATAGCTGTTGTGTTTGCTAAGACTCGTTATACCTACCTGGGAAAGATTAAAGTGGATCTAATATGTTTTAGGGTACATTCATTTTCATAATCCTGGGATAACAAGATAAAATAA